GTTAAGAAGGTCATTTAGTGATGGAATGTCTTTCAATGTCCCCTTTTTCTGCTTGAGAAATTCTGAAATAATCGAAATACATCTCTCAATTTTTTTCAGGTGGTAAACAAGCTTCAGATAATAATGTGTCCAATTCAATTCCGGCGAAAGACATTTTTGTTGAAGGCCCACAAGTTTTTTCAGGTGCCATGGGAATGCCCAAATAATTGCATAAAGACATAAATAATCTAACTGGTCCTCACACAATTTCTCAGTCATCGCAGCTAATAAAAAATCATCTACTAAATGTAACATAAAAATGGATATTCAATTTGTTTCGTGCTATCCACTGAACAGCTGTGTTAAATTTCTCAAAAGTTGAACAAGAACTCGAGCAACCCATAGGCATATAGCGATCATAATAATAAACCCCCTTCCACATTATTCCCAATAAAGGATAATCTTTGGGCTGAATTGGTAATAGTCGAAAAACATTTTTAGTGTCTGTTTTTGCCATAAAACATCCTGGACCTAATTGCTTAATAAGCTTTATAGCTTATTCAGCTTTATACCTTGATTCAAACCCTTCAATGAAGCTTTATAGCATCGTCAATAGTAGAATAAGAAACAGTTGAGTTGCTTGTGATCTATACCATCGTTTACAGATGACCCATGTGGGTATGAAAGATGGTGGATAAGACAAAATTCACCAGGCACTTTCTTAGGGGCAACTCCCAAAGGAGATACCCAAAAATGTTAGAAAAGGACCTTATCAAAGACCCGCTAAACAACAGGCTGACAGTCCTGTTGAAATTGTTGCATCGACTGCCAGTGGATTGCTCAAATTATTCATAAATAATTATTCATAAGCCCCTTGATAATGTGCAAAAACCATATGCCAAAAATTCAGTTAATAAATGATCATATTCTTCCAGAAAAATACTAAAGGATCAACTTTTACAGGAGTGGGGAGCTGCCTGTCTGTGAAATGATGTGGCAGTGAAAGCATGTGTGTTTGAAACCACAATCTAACCCACGATAGAATTTGAAACAAAAACCATGTGGTACAACGTTGATTCTTGCTACCTTTGGCAGGACCAGTAAATGGCTGAGCTCGCTTACTCAACGTAGGAGAAGACAGTTGTGCACGTAACCATAACTCCCAGTGAACACTTCCCCAAGGCAAGGCTGAAGCAGGATTTTGTCTTAAGAAACAGAAGTTCTCATAAAATTTCCAGTTGAAACCCTGTGACGCTAAGTCTTGATTACTTCACAATACTTCATCAACCCCGGGGATTCACTTGGAAACCTACAAGTGTAAACTCCTACAAATGTATAAAATGCTTGGAGCCATTGGTTAATATTGAAAATTTTATGGCTCCGGTTAATTGGCTCGAGGCAAATAGATGGGCCATTATTACCCTTTAAACTTTGAAAAGACAACTGGAACTTATTGTTCCCTTGACTAGAAATAAGGGTACTAAATTCCACATATTCGTTATTCAAATTTTGGTTTTTACTTTATTGTTCATTCTAGAATCTATTTCCAGGCTGCTTCAATGAAAAATAGTTTTTGGAATAGATGGTGTATCACCATAACGTATACCTGCAATAGCTTCTTGGGATTGCCCCACAACTATTTCGACCAGCGAATCTATTTTGTAGGTTGGACTTACTGCAAGATGTTGTGGTCCACTGGCTGCTGTAGAATACTGGCATCTGGTGGATGTGGACTCAACGGCCCTTGTTGGTTGACTGAAACGGTTGGATTGGTACCCATGGAACTTCCAGAGTCTCTGTGTCACAACATCAGCAACCTTTGTCACCAGCTACTCAATTAGATCTGGGGTCAGCACTGTTGCTGTAGCTTCAACTACTGGTACAGGTATTTGGCTGGACGCGGACTTTGACTTCTTTGCTGTCCGAGTTGCCTTTTTGGCTGGACGTTTTACAGCTGGGCGATTCGCAGCTGAAACAACGCTTGAACCCGGATTTGAGGTGGATTGTGTTACACGCCGAGGCATATCATACTCCATCAAAGAAACATATGCACTAGCACTAACTTGACCCAAACGGTTCGATTAACCCAACACTGGCATGAAAATTTTCCTAAACATGACTAGCCAAAAGGCAACACAGATCTCACTGGCAAGCTAAATGATTATAATAAGCCAACTGATTATATTAAACCACACTGGCATGAAAAGTATATAATATATTGTGCCAAAAGGCAACAAAGACCTCACTGCCACAATTGTAAACCTGCCAAATGATATGGTAATCATTATAACACCACACTGGCAGTAGAGGCCAATTTATAAACAGCCAAATGTTCATGTAAAATAGCATTAAATTACCAATAATTCAAGTGACCTGGACAATGCCAATGTCTCAACAAATTACTATATCTCCATGATAATACAATTACAGTGTTACTTCAAAATTGGCAAACAAGGAATTAATAAAAACTAATTACAAATGTAAAAAGTAACATGATAGCCTTATCAAATACATGGTTGATGCAGCGGCTAGTGCTGCTCTCTCTTTTAGTTCAGAAAATTACAAAGTTTCCCATTGACATGATTAAAACTGTTCTAGTAAAGCAATGTCATGATAAATAAGTGAGCAATGGGCCCAAAAGAACTGCTAAATTATGTTTTTGTTAGAACTTCAATTTCATGGCTTCCTGCAAAAGAAGCTATTTCAGAGAGAAGCTGCATTTTGCAAACAACTGTTGCAACCTATTTTGATAACTTTTCCTTCTGATTCAACATGTAGTTACTAGAAAATGAGTTTGCTTCAACATTATCTGCTTTACCGATTTCAGTTTTTATGGGTATATAAAAACCAATAAAAACCCATTTTAAATGCTTTAGAACTCAAGTGTGGACTTTGCATGTGGCAAGCAAGCACATTAAGTCAATATACTTATTTTAAACCACAATATTTCTGAAACAAGTTGTCATTTTAAGACAAAATTTATGAAAATAGGATATAACAGTGATTTTGGAATATCCTACTTATTTAAATGTGATTTTACTCTAAGTATTCTTGCCAAAAAACACACACACACACAACAGTAAGTTTAACCTGGTGTTATTTAGCTAAAATAACAAATTGAACAAGAAGACCAACAATTGGGTCACAAAAACAGTCAAAATTGTGGCCAAATTTGCATAAACAGTTTGTCTAAAAAGATAACTTTAAATTAGATTCAACCAACTTTAATGTGGTCGAATTTTGTGAGTGTTTGATCACAATTTTCTACTCAGGTGCATTAATGCTTGGCTCCACTTTGGCAAGGCTTAGACCCTGTTTACACGATACCGACAGAGTTTGAAAACGGAACAAAAATCACGATCATTTGCCAATGTGCCGTTTAACTTTTGCGTTTACACGGTGCCGGTAAAATATAATGACGGTTTGTCATGTGATATTCTTTATCCAATAAAATTTATTGAAGAAAAATACCGCTGAAATACCACATGCAAGGCGCAAACTCATGACAACAAATATGGCGTCCAAAAAAAGCAAGAAAACCTCAAAGAAAACCGAAGGACAGGGCAATTTTACATAGACTGACGACGAAATTGAGTTGTTGCTTGCAGTTATTTACGAATATAAAAACAGTAAGGAATCAGAGGGATTCGAATGGGAGTCAATTAAGACAAAATACGACGAAATCAGAGCCTTGTTAGCGAGATATACTCGAAATCAAGATGCAGACGATCAAAGAGAATTCCCTTTGGGAAAGAATCCATCCGAAGAGTTAACAAATGAGCAAGTTGTTGCCAAAATAAAAGCTTTGCGATTAAAGTACCGAAAAGCTTTAGATTCTGGTAGAAAGAGTGGAGGTGGAAGAGTTGTTGCTCAGTTCTATGATATATGTTCAAAAATCTGGAGTGGAAGTCCTGCAGCGGAGGCAATTGAAGGAGGTATTGACACCAGCCTTATGTCAGAAAACACAACAACAGAAACAACCAATGATGAGTCGAGTATTCCACCAGAACCAGTACAAGCTCCGAATTATGCTATGTCAAGCGATGAAAGTGAAACTAGCACACAAGGTCCTGATCATTATCGAAGAGATCTAGTGAAGCATTTACAGGAAAGCAGAAATGCTAAGCTCAAGAAAAAAATTCCAGTTGATAAACAGATACTTGACATAACAAAAAAGGATTTTGAGCTGAAAAGAGAGATGATGGAGCACATGAAACATATGGAAGCTGAACATAACAAGCAAATGAAAACTCTTTCAGAGTCTATGGTTGGACTGACTAATGCTTTAACAGCCGCAATCGCAGGTCGACAATATCAACCGCAGCCAAATGGTCAATTCCAACAGCATGTCCAACCAGGTGCACAATATCAACATCCGATAGGTATAGTTCAATATGCATTATGTCACTCTATGACTAGTGCATGGTACAAAATATACCTACAACTTTAGAGTTTACTTAGTCAAATGTTAAATTATTTTAATCACCTTATGCCCTTTTCACTGTATATACCAGCAAATGAAAATTCCTAATATACCACCTTATAAATGCAGCTGGAGTAAATAATTTTTTGTTATTAATTTGCAACAGGTAGCCAGTATCAACAGCCAGTCCAATACATGCAATATGGTAGTTTTCAACCTTCTGTAATTAACCAAATACCACAGCAACAACCTCTACAGCCACTTTTGAACCATGCACAGATCACAGAACTAGATTATCAGATGGAGCAAGGGGGAGATCAACATACATAGCAATTGTTTTGTGAAAGTAACCAGATAATCGGATAATAATCAGATAAGTTGGTAATATCAGGTAGTAATCAGATAAGTTGTTCATGTTATGTTTTAAGCTTTTCATTCCAATAGTTTGGATATTGATAAAGATTGGATAATACATATAGTTAACAAAACAAACATAATATAAATAAATATTGATATTTTGTAGACATTTTAAATGTTATAAGTTTTTTTGAAAATACATTTTATGTATGTACTTGTTCAATCTCCAATTGATGGCATATTAGTCAAAATACTTAACATAAATGTCTCGTACTTTTTTTCCAGCTGCCTCATTGTTTCCAGTAGTGCATCTATTTGCAGCACATGGTGGCTGATGTTGTCTTTCTGATGTGATTGCTGTTTGTATGAGGCCATCATGCACTTGTTCTTTGTTCAGCTCACAAATATTGTGTAGTACGAAACAAGAATGAATAAGTTTGATATCCATAGGTCGACGTAGTGAACCAAATCTACCTTTTAGTTGACCAAAAGCACATTCTATTGTCATTCGAGCAGATGACAATCGATAACCAAAGAATTGTTCACTAATATTAGATCCTCCAGCTGGGAATTCTTTCATGACGTATGGAAGAAGGGGATAGGCAGGGTCACCAAGTATACAGACGGGAACAGCATCCTCTCCTTCCACAATCATTTTGGGACAACTAGGTATTATATTCTCACACATTTTTTTGCTCAAACTAGAGTTAGCAAAGATTCGAGGCGTCGTGAACAGCCCCAGGCCATTTGACTACAACATCAGTGAAGCAGTACTTGTAATCACAAAGTCCTTGAACATTTATTGAATATTTCCCCTTCCTGTTTAGGTAAGTCTGTGTAATTTTCATTTGGCTGTATTATTTGTACATGGGTTCCATCAACTGCTCCAATGCATTGAGGAAATCCATGAAATCTCAAGTAACCAGAAACTAATTCTTCAACCTGAATAGAAAAAATGCTGTGACCCAATTATCCTGTCATAATGCAAACATATTCTAATGATTATAGTATTACCTGTTGTGGCATCGATGGAAGTCTTATATAAAGTGGTCCAAGCTTTGTTGAAATTGCTTTGCATACCCTTCATACGGTGCGAGAAACGGTACAACGTGCTATACCAAAAGCATTTGCAACCTTTCGATATCGCCCTTCATCAGCCAAGTAGTACAGTGTTATTGCGATTTGAGTCTCGACGTCCAATGGCTTCCTCATATTTGTTTCCTTTTTTGTCAGATAAGGTCTAAGTTCTTCACACAACTTCTTGAAAATAGGCTGGGACATCCGGAAATTTTCTTGCCATTCTTCAATGACAGCAATATTATTTTTCAAATTTTCCCACCATAATGGCATCCTTCCAGGACGAATCCAAAATTGTCTTTTCTTCCTTTTTTTTCGTGCCAGTAAGATTGGTCTGTTATTGAATAACTCTAAAAGCTTATTTCGTTTTTCTCTGAAAACAGCTATAGTGTGCTGCATCAGCGCAATATTAATAAAAATTGCTGCACATAAACATGCTATTTCAATAAAATTCATTGTTTACTTTTTATACGGTAACCGTCGTCAAATTTTGACGGCACAAGCGTTTACACAGTACTTGTTATTGTTCCATTTTCACACTTTGCCGATAAAGATGACGTTTTCATTTGTTGCCGTTTTCATGACATTTTCTGCCGGTATCATGTAAACGCAAGGCCAAAACGGCATGATTTTGTTCCGTTTTGAAATGAAAACAGCATCATGTAAACGGAGTCTAAATGAAAACGGCATCGTGTAAACAGGGTCTAAGTTTGGTAGAAGCTATGAGGAGCTTACCATAAAAAATTAATGATAAAGAGCAAAATAATGTCACTAGTTTATGAAACTCTAGATGATTAGTCAAACAGTTTTTGTTGATGTTCTAATTTACCCTTTTGGGGGTATATATAGTTGTAACTTGATATTGTGTTGTTTCCAAAAACACTGTATGGCATTGGTATTTTTTTAAAAACAATGTTTTGTTTCCTTTGTGTCTCATATACACTTTCTTAAAGGTAACCCCTGACTATTTGTAATTCACCATTGGCAGGGTTCTCACCCTTGATATAACAGGACTTTGAAAAACATTGTCTAGAAAGTTAAAGTTACACTTTGTACACATATGGATCAGGAAATATTCATATTGAATATTTTAAATCCCTAATTGTAAAAGCACAAAATATCACATTTCACCCAATTAGTGTGTTTGACGCTGGCTGACAGCCAGAAATTTTGTCTCCGATTGCTCGGCTGCCAGCCGGGCTGTACTATAGTATACTATTTGTTAAAAAAATGCGCACATTTTGGAGACTGGTTCTAGAATGTTTCATAAGCAGAAAACCACCAAAATTACATTAAATTTTCCGAAAATCATCGAAATGCATCTAAATTCATCTTCCCAATTCATACAGCTAGCTATGCGGCAGGTAAATAAACGAGAAAAAAAGTTACGGCAAAGAGAAAAATTAAGAATTATTCGCGCTCACTCTGGGATTCGAACTCACAACCCTCAGCATACACGCTAGGTGCTGTTCCCCTGCGCCACCACGTCTTACACGGAAAATATGTTAATTTATTGTATATACACAGGTTATTCTTAGCCAGCGTGATTTATGATTGCCTAAATACGTACACCATTGTACACGGCCAAGGGTACAGTACAAGCAGAGCCGTATCTACTCTTTAACTGACAATATTTACATCACCGCATAGATCACAGCTGCCAGCCGGGGTTATTTAACTGTAATACAATACTACAATGCAGTACGAGTGTCAGCCGAGAGCAGAACAAGCAGAGCCGTATCTACTCTTTAACTGACAATATTTACATCACGGCATAGATCAATACAATACTACAATGCAATACGAGTGTCAGCCGAGCCTGTCGGTAGTATACTATAGTATACTACAAAACATCACAGCTACCAGCCGGGGTTATTTAACTGTAATACAATACTACAATGCAATACGAGTGTCAGCCAAGCCTGTCGGCTACCAGCCGGGGTTATTTAACTGTAATACAATACTACAATGCAATACGAGTCAGCCGAGCCTGTCGGTAGTATACTGTAGTATACTACAATACATCACGGCTACCAGCCGGCAATCAGCCGATCCTGTCTGTAGTTACCAGCCGGCAATATGGCTTTATAAAATAACGCGTGCTCTGATTGATCAAAACCTGTTATTTATTACCTGTTATTTGTTTGGATCAGGCCATCCAAACATGGAAATTTAAAGTGCCTTGGCGGGAATTTTAGACTTTGTTGTTATATATATTATATATATTTGTATACTATAAAAATACCTAACAAATCTAATGTCAAATATGAAGCCTTGAATTAGGCTGCACTACAGTGTACACAGTAAACATTTACAGTATAAATAAATCATGTGTCCAAATATCAAAACTCACAAAAGGATTAGTGCAAATCGCAAACGCAACAGCTAACATTCCAAAGTCCAAACGTCAGCTGAATTTATATAAAACCAACCTGAAAACGGTTTGCTTGAAAATACAGAGTACACTCTTCGGCCATTATATTTGGCTTTGAAAGGCTGAGGGCCAAGGAGTGTTTGGTGACAAAAACGCAATATCAATGACAATGTTAATGACAGATATAATGTTACTGTTTATATACCGTCATATTCATAAACAAAGTATCTGGTTTTCACCTGAATATCTCTAATGGCTTACACTGTTAATATTGTTCAACGAAAGTAAAGCAGTTGCGGCATTGTTTGTTCCATCCATATCGTCCTCAGAGCTGTTGTCGAGCATAGAGTCCGCTGGGTTATGACACTTGTTGCCTTTGATACAATATTCCGTACCGAATGACATATTTTTTGCTTGGTTTTCTGCATATTGCAATTCGACTGCCAACTTAAAATCATCAACCTCTTGCATGCTTCCAACAGTTGAAGATGACCCACTCGGAAAAAGCTCTCTTGGTTGTTTATTTATTGTTGGATAGCGGATAGCAAATTCTTCCTTGAGTATTCTTTCCTGTGGCAATACACAGCTGCCACAATCTGCGTGTGGACGTGGTGCTGCAGTATCAAAAAACTTGCCTGTACCTTTTTTACGGACAATATCTGATAATAATGGCAAAACATTTTCACGAGTTGGTAGAGAACCTTTCATCTGCATTCAACAGGGCCCAGTTATGAAGACCACAAGAAACATATTGCTGTGGGAATTCTTTGACAACAATGTCCTCAATGCGTTTCGAATTGCTATTACCGACTTTTTGTACTACCATTCTAGCATGTTGAACGTCAATTTGAGTTTTAGTTAACTTCGAATTAAGTTTTTTAATCGTTTTCTCGATAGTTGATCTTTCATATTTTTGCTTGGAATGTTTAGCTAGAATGCCACATGAAAAAGCAGACTTACATGGACTAAAAGAGCAGTTTCTCCGTGTGTGTCCTAATTTGAGATGACACTTTCCACAAGCAGTTAAGGGCCCGGAATTTTCTCGACAAGCCTGGTTCAGTTTATCTTCAAATGTTGTTAATTCCAGGCGACTTAGTTCAATTTGATCGTTCATCATGTTTATACATTCATTGTGTTTTTGTGAATACCTTTCTAATGGAGTAAGGAGAGATTTTCTTGGGAGAACTGCAGCCGCAGGTTCATTTGGCCTTGAGAGTACACGATGCCGATGGATTCCCGCATTGATGCTTGCACCAGTTGTAGGGTTTTCATGTTCAGTATTGTCCTGCGCAGCGTTGCCTTTGTACGTTGTCGTCGAGGAAGAAGACAAAAGTGGTGATCACTCTCAATCACTCTCACGCTAAAAGCATTAAGTCCACTTCCAAGAAGTCTTGTTATTTGATGAGTGAAATTTCATTTTCTTTCCCGTCTTTTATACAATATCTAATCGGCACATTTATTCTGCCGAGATAAGGTATTTTGCTTATTATAAAGTGATGACAACTGGTCGTATCTCATTGAATTTAGCTTAGAATTTATGAGTTTTTCCAATAAAAATCGGTGTTTTGCGACTCGTTCCATAATACGTGTATTCGACATTAAATTCAACAAGTTGTGTATCACTCTCATGGGATATGTCCATGACAAAAAGTAAAAATTTCCAAAATGCTTCGCGAAGTACGGCTTGATATTTGTGCGCGCAAATTAACGAACACGCCCATTTGAGCTTGTATTCGCACCTTTTTGCACTTAGCAATGTGTTTGTTTTAACACGAAAACAATCACCAGAAACGGAAGGCCTGAAACGGTAAATCGAAATCCGCAGTATTGGGCTAGCCAAATCTCAAAGTGATGCTTCTGCTTATAATAGGTTATAGTCTTTGAGCAAAAAGATAGACCTAATTATCTACAGTACATATTAATTGTGCACTACTGTATATAACTGTGCATGGACATTACATTAGATCCTATGTGCACAAAACGTCAGGCCAAACTAATGTATTGTTCTCAAGCCCAAAGAAATGTCATTCACCTATTTATTATTAATATTCATTTTGAAATCAATGGGGTTTCCTGCAATCTGATTGGCTAATAGCAGTGCAATTTCTGCACGAATTGCACTCATATCAGTGCGATTTCAAAATTGCTTGCAACAGCTTGAGTTGAAATTGCATCATTTTTTTTAACTAATCAGACTTAATTATAGGATTCAACCAGCCAATCAATTTTAAGAAAAATGTGATCTGCCCAATAACCAAATCTGATCATCATGAATTTTCAAGTTGTAATTATTTATTTGTCAATAGACTGCCTAAAATTTTTTGAATAAAACAAGGTATTGAGGCTTGCCAAATGTAAAAATACCAAAGGATGTTTGCCCAAATGATGATGGGCAAGGAACAAAATTTTCAATGAAACATCATACAAATACCAACAAATGACACATAAAAGCGACAAGCAAACAAAGTAAATAATTTGTCGATCTGTGATCGTAGTGTCAAGTGTAGATGACTCGACGGTTGTGGTTTGAATACACACTACCACACCAAAACTGTATCAAATTATTTATAAAACTATAGTATGTTTGCACTTACTTTGGCTGATTTTGTATCTTTCAATATCTTACCACGATAAATTTTTAGTTTGCACTTGTTATGGTTATAAATTAAAAGTTCAGCTTGTGTACTTGTTGCTAGGGAGTATCGCAGGTGTGTCTTTGTAAACAAAGAATTAATTGTTTCCGGTTTACAAAATTGTTTCAACATTTCAAAATGAATATAATAAAGAAGACATTGAACTTCCTGTCGTGCAATTTGTACTGAAATCAAACATGTGCAGCGAAATCATTTCTGTTTGCCCAGGGACTGATCCAGCAGGTGACACAAAATAATCTCGAAAATGATCCCGCACTAGCTTTGCATCTCTGCTATAGTTATTGGATCCAATACGTCCGACAGGTTGGAGCCCTGTATCAGCTTGCACTACAGTTCTCCACAGACCATCTCTCTGCCTGTTGTGAACTTCTTGGTCAATGAATCTGACAGGGCAGTATCAACTAGCTCCATCACTAAAACGATCTTTCATAAGATAGTTATGTAATGCTACACAAGCTTTCATGATGGATTTTACTGTTGATACTTCTGCCACAATAGGACGACAAAATATACGAAATCGTGCAGCCATAATTCCAAATGTGTTTTCAATTGTCCTTCGTGCCTGGCACATTCTGCCATTCTGTAATTTGCAATTATTTCATTCAGACTGAGATTAATATGGGAATAGGGTTTAATAATGTTGTAACATAAAGGAAATGCATCATAAGCAACAAAAACGTATGGGGCTATAAATGTTGATCTGTCAAGTTTACATGGATCAGGAATGCAGGGGTGGAAAAATTTTTTTCTTTCTGGGAACCTGGGTCAAAGGCTAGAAATTTTCTGTGAAATTTCCAATGCTACGATTACAAAAATAACAAAGCAAAATACATCATGGTTGTCTGTTATATACCACAGTTATGAAAGTTAGTACTTAGTTAGGATCTAATGCTTAAGTTATGAAAGTTAGCAAGGATCTAAGGCTTAACTAAGTGTCCTATAATCTTATTTATTCCATCTCTTGATAAAAATGTCACTTTTTGTTATATTGTTATGATTGCTGTAATCCATTAAAATTCTACAGTGTTTTGCTGTATTAGTATTTCATTGATAGTTTGTATTTACTGACTGCAGTATTATAAATTTATGATGACCATGCAGTTATACTTTATTAGCAATTCTACCCATTCGTAGTTAGCATATGATTAATGCATCCAATGAGACCAATTTGTTGCGACATTACGTATCCATGAAAGGAAATTTGCTGTGCCCCTTCAGCATTCTGTCCAGAACTTTAGAGCCACCACTGTGTTCCCTTAACTGCTCCAAAACTGTTGTTCTAAAAAATTGCCATGAAGTACTTCCACCACTTTTTTGGGCACAATTCATTGCTTCTCTGATAACTGCGTCAGCATGACCAAGACTAGGTCCATTGACAGTGATCATGAATTCCTCTGTTGTGCTTTCCTCCTTCATATTCCTGTTGGGATCAAAATGGTTCTCGAAAACCGACACAAGAGATTCCAATACCGACTCGCAAGATATCTTCACACAGCACACGCTAATAGCTTGCATGACCATTTCAATATCAACAAAGAGACCACTCTCTGGATCGAAAAACTGCTTTAGGATGTCCTTTGGATCTATTTCACGTAGCTGCTCAAAATAGGGTATTGCTGCGTTAATTTCTCCAATAGTTTCAAGAATTCTCTGTACTGCCTCTTTAAATCGTCATCGGACACAACGTTGAGAGATCGAACAGGGACTGCACGGATAGCATTCACAAAAACAGGACCCTGAGTAACCACGATCTTGATGTGTCCTCCGTTTGGCCCCTTCAATCTACATGCAATGTCTGGTAAATTCAGTACTGTTTTGGTGTGGCCAATTGTAGTGACTGCTTGTTCATCAAACACTTTGTCTTTCAGACCGAATACAATGTTGAAACGAGCATTGACAATCTCTCCTCAACTTGTTTCTCTGCATTTACACTTTGCAAAATTGTTGCTTGCCTCCTCATGTTACGTGTCTGGCTTAGTAAATCTGCAGCAACAACAGCATTTTGGTCTAGAACAGGAACATTTCGATTCTCACCTTTGCTGCTCAGGGACTCTTTGTCATAATGAAAAATCGGGAAAAGGCACTTTACTTTGGCCTTTTCATCAACAAATTTCCCACAATTCTTGTGGTCGGTAAGGCACTTTACCATCGCTTGTAGCACATTGACCTCTTTCGTGAAAAGCTCAAGGCATTCATGCGGTAGAAGATTAACAATTTGTGTTACATTCACTATCTTCCCATATTGATCATAAATATCAGCACAACCGGCCAGGGTTAACAGGAATCGCACATTCAACAATTTCCCTTTCAACTCCTTTGCTTCACTTGTCTTTTCTCTCAATTTCCCATCAGATGGATTTTGATGAGAAAGTATAATTTTTTTCTTCTAGACATGTTATAATAGCAGGTAAGTCATGGTGGATATTAATGTACACCTGGCGACGACTGTTGGCAAACCTTGTTTCTGAAAACTTTACTAACTCTTTCAAGTGGAGCTTCCAAAGCACCGACGCTTCTAATAACTTTTCATGATTCTGTCCCCAATTAAACATTCTAAAAAGCTGGGAGCACACATCCGTATCATCGACTAGCCATTGGAATCTCTCTTCCTTACACAGGTGGGTATCCATAAGACCACTTTTGTGCAGGGCATCCCAAGCCCAGAAAACAGTATTTGGCGGTAGATCATGATTGTTGGTGATTCTAAGGCTTTCTGAACACCAAGATGAAAATACTGACCATCGAACGACCCTCCTTCAATCTGCAATGATTTTATGTTGAATTGGTCCATCTGCTTTTTGATATTCACAGCTAACTCAATGCCTGTGTGACCTTTGACAATAGGTTGACCGAAACTAATCACCTGTAGCAGTTCTTCTGCATCAGGCATCACTGTAACACAAGACAAAAACTGCCTGGTATTGTGCTTATATGTAGCCTTATCTGCGGTGATGTTTACAGCTGGAAGATGTCCGGTCTGAGGAAGCTTTCTGCCAATGAATCCACTAACTCTTTGCAGTATTGCCTTGCTGACAAAAGGTCTGAATGCTGCTGGAAACTTGTGTGAATGATTTAGCTCTCCAACAGCTCCCCCGTTCGTCTTCTGCACAAGAACATCATCCTCGTAGTCGGTATAGGGGCGCCCTTTCAAGTAAAGTTTCATGCATAATCTTCCCAAATTCATCCCAGCATTCTCGTTCTTTTTTCCAACAAACTTTGTTTCGCCTTTCTTTCTTGTTCAGCTTTCACGTTTTTCTGATGACTGATAGAGTCAATGAGATGACGTTTGACACATTTCTTTAAATTAATGAATGTTCTTGGAAGATATTTGTGATCATCTTTTTGGTCTAAATCATATGGATATGTAAATACACCATCTGCTGCTGGGCCTGTTGCCTTTTCTGTACCTGAGTTCGCATTGTTTGAATTGCAGCTTTGACGGCATACAACACACGCTAGCTCTGAAGTGTTACCATCATACGTGAAACCAAGATCAATGAGTTCTTTAAGTGACCTGATCGTGTTAATTGTTTTAATACCCGCCATGTAGTCGGCAGATGTATCATTTGCAGCAGAGAACAAGCTTTTATTTGGCTGTTTATTTGCTTTCTCCACTTTTGTTTCATTTTGGCTTTGCAACTCCATTAGTTGACCCTGTATTTTATCAAGTTTTGTCAATACAATGTTATCATTTGTGCTAGCAGGGATATTTGATAACTTTTCTAGAATCATGTCTAATTTGGTTTTCTCACTAATCCCTCCTGTGTCCCGATCAACACCTTCGTATTCAATTTCTTTGGTTGAATAAGGAGTCTGAAATTCCTGATCGACTGGGATAGAATTACATGCTTCACCTTCATCAATGTGTATTCTTTTTGGAAGAATATCTGAGGACTCTTGCAAATCACTGCCACTGCAACGTTTTTTACTTGTTTCTACTTTCTTGAAAAAGGAAGTGGAAAGCTTTTCTCTGTCCAAAAGGAGTCGTATTTGTATGATCCTCCTGTGGGTGTTTTGCTTTTATATGATCTTTGTAATTCTTTTGTAGTAATGTTTTACAACAAACACGACACTTTGTCTCTACACTTTCACTTCGAAAAGTCGTTTTTGACATTTACCAGAAAATAGATTCAGAATATGTATTATGTAATTGGCAGTTATTTTTAGTTCAATGGCATGTGCTTTAATTTATACAGTCAAAATTTTAAATTTCAGGCGGCCATTTTGAAATTCAAATTTCAAACTTTGTGCTTCTGACATGAAGTATTACCACACAGACTGGCTGCTGAGTTTTCAAAAAGTCAGCAGCCAGTCTGTGTGGTAATACTTCATGTCGGAAGCATAAAGTTTGAAATTTGAATTTCAAAATGGCCGCCTGAAGTTCAGATTCTGCATTGTCGCATATTATGTCGTATGGTATATTATTAATTTAAAGTATGAAATACATCACAGTATAAAGTGTCTGTATTAAATTAATTTATTCTACATAAATTTAATGTACTGTATTAAATTAATTTATTATTTTTATACTAGTATTATAGCAATATAATAATAGCACTGGGACTTGAAGCTTATTTCATTGCATATTTTATTTGTTTACTATTTAATTTGCATTATATTGGAGACTTTGCAGAGCATATATTTACCATTTTACCTCATTGGCACTGTGATGGCAGGGGTGGGTATTGGGTAATATAATTAATTTCTGTCAAATAATTAATTTCTGTCAAATATTTAAAAGGCTGCTGATGTGAGTGTGTACACTGTAGTAGATTGTACAGTGTAAATAAAGTAGAATAGTTGTAACTTGTAAGTTGAGTAAACAGAGTTATCTCAAATGTTGATATATTTTCTGGAAAATTTTCTGCGAAACTCCCAACTCGAAAAAATTTCTGGGAACTGGGTTCCCAGGTTCCGATACTTTTTCAAAAATGCTAAATGATTTTTTGTAATTGAAAAACATTGACCCACTATTTGCTGGAGTTTGTATAACCACATGCTTCCCGTCGATTGCTCCTATACAATGGGGGAAAATTCCACTTTTCTTCGAAATCACATGTTACTTTTTTCCACTGATCTTTTTGCATAGGAGCAGATAAAAAACCTTTCTCGACCAGTGTATCCCAAATAGCATCAGAAGTTTCTTTGATAATACGACCAACTTTTGCTTGACTAATCCAGTAGCTTCCAGAAATGGTTACTTGTGAATCTCCAGTTACGGCATATCTTAAAGTAACACATAGTCTCTCTTTTAAAGTTTGTTCGTTCACTGCAACCAGGTATATCAATCATGTTTCGCTCACTACTCTGGTTTAAATAAATGATTACAAAGCCCAGTCGAATTGTAATCAAGACCCAACGTTTTGACACTCCAGTCTAGTGTCTTCATCAGGGGTGATCTAAAATTGCAATCGTGGCTTCTTAAATACCCAAGAGATGACGTCACCTGCCAATGAGATACATATATTCCTCCGCATGGTATAGAATATACAGCATGAGTTTTCTGATTTGTTTTGACAGGATCTTTTGGCTTTTCGCATATATGGCCTAAAGTCAAATACGGTTTTAAGGCAACCTTAATATTACAATCACTTAAGATTCTCTTGAGTGGTTCTGTGACACCTTGAATGTATGGAACTATTGCATAACCCTTAACAGAGGTATCGCCCTCAAAGTTATTTTTGTTCCTACAAAACAAAACGGTAGAGGTATCACCCTCGGAGTTATTTTTGTTCCTGGGCCGATTCGATCTCGTTTTAACCGCAGACTTTGTTAATTTTGGTGCTACCCACTGTAATAATTCTTCCAGCAACATTCGAAAATGTTTGAAGAATAATTCATGATCAAACAGCTTCATTTCTTGGACTAAGCAATGAAATTCTCCCTTATGTTTCCTTTCTGCAAATATCTTTCGTATCCAGCATCTTTTTCTGTATTTTCTTTGTTGTTTTCTCCTTCGCAAAAGTAGCAAGAGAAGAAGCTGTCTCTTGTTTAGAGCGGCCATGTTTTAACTGTGCTTTTTTTGTCCTTTCATATCCGTCCCTGCCCCTCTGGACATTTCACGAAAAAATCAGAACAGTAAAACAAGTGGAAATTCAACAAAGAAAATTTTCCCTCTAAATCTTTTTCTCGTGAATTTTTTTCGCTCGAAAAATCAGAGTGCAATTCCGCCTTAAGAATCCCTTTCTCTGCTTCCTTTAATTGGATCTATAAAAGATGTACAAGTATTAATATTAGTGTATTTTCAAGCAAGTTTAAGTTATTACTTAGAGTTTGAGCATATCTGTGAAGTGCTGTACAAGGTTTTTGATGAACAACGGTTTGGCTTTTACAACACCAGCACATATGATCATATGTCCTATATGGGGACATTCTGTTTGACTTTTGCCTATCTTATCCCTTTTCTTTTCCGTAAGAATCGCCTCTCTGCAATGCGCTTCTTTATTTCTCTGTCTTTATTATTTACGTTGAATGGAAGCTCTCTTTTTAATTCATTAGAAATCCATCTCATCCAATCGACTTGCACTCGACATATTTTATCGGGATCTTCAGAATCTGATAGACAGGAATAGACACTCGACAATTTCTGTTAACATCGGACATTCTCTGACAAAATAAAGTTTAAAGTTTCTGAATGTATCTCCAGTAACTTGTTCTTCTGGTGAATTCACTCCGCTTCGAATACCAAGGTTTACAAGAGTAGACAACCTGTCATATTCCAAGACTAATAGTGGATCTTTCAGAAGCAGATATCTTCTTATCAGTTTCCCTTTGCAGCAACAGTTTTAACTCTCACTCATAGATAGCATCAATGCTATCTGTGATTTTTGAAATGCTTTCCATTTCTTGGTTGTACATGTTCACAAGAGTACTCAGATAAACATTATCACTGACTGATGAATTTGACAAAATGTCATCCATAATTAATTTGGTTTTCTGTTTGTGAGTTAAAACATTTTGTTGCAAATTGTAAATTTCATTTTTTTTGCTCACTTTGCCGATCTGACTCATCATTAGATCACTACCAACAACAAATGAGATTGATTTTCTTATATTCCTATACTGTTGCTTTCTGTTATAAGTCGCACTGGGAAAGGCAGACTTGACAGTTTTTGTTGCGAGACTTAATTTTGCTGTCAGTTTCTAAAAAGCTCATAACGTCTGACCTTTCTGTTCTTTTTCCTGGGCTTTCTACAAACTCGTCCTTTAATTGTGATTGCAAAATATCTTGCCTTTTCTTGCATCCTTCACCATGGAGTCTTTTTGCAGGTGGATCAAACTCACTTGGACTTAACTCTGATGTTCTGCCTTTAACTGGAGTGCTGCTGGTGAACAGCTCAAAATCTGTTGGCTCTAAATGGGAAAAAAACTAGAGGGTCTAGATGGGGTTTAACCCTTTAAGTGTCAATGCACACTGATGTGCCCTACTTTAGTATCTTACTCTGTCTAACACCAGACGATTTTACTCGTCAAGTGGGAGTGCTGCCACTCAATGGGTTGACCAAACAAACTGCCCATAGTTAATGTTAAGTGTTGATGGCCCATATTCTATAGCATTTGATGTTGAAATGCTAAAAATTTTGTTGTTTACTGTCATGGAAGACTTGGCAGTTTAAAAAGTGCTGTAATTACTATAAAAAGCACTGGGGGAAAAATGTGAAATCCATATATGAAATTTACAATTGCACTACTAAATCCATAGTTTATCCATACTATTTTGAAACTATATATCCATAGTATGGAAATATACAATTATTATGGATAATCAAAATCCATGCTATTTCCAATAAAGGTCCATACAATTTCCATTTTATGACCTTCTATGGATTTTCAAAATTTGTTGCCAGTGAAGTCTAACACATTTTCAAAATGTCCGAAAAATACCATGACTAAAGGGCCTTACGCTACTGAACTTCAGACAAAAGAAATAGGAAAAAATATTAACAGTATACACTATACGTTATATTTGAAAACCCTCAAACTAACTTAACAACAAAAATGATGATGAAATAATCTTTGTAATAACATAAAAGGATAAAACGTGATAAACTAAACAAAACCTTACCTTCCAGAGATAAATTATGAAGCGAATCATCAAGTATATCCACATCGCAGTCATTGTTAGCAGTCCCAGCACCGACTGTTTTAATAGCAGCAACTGTTTTATTAATAGCAGCATCTTCATTTCTAATAGTAAGATCTTCATAAAATTATACAAATAACCACTTCAATCAAATACGAAGTCACTTTAATTTAAAACAAACGCCCTGAGTTGGACATTAAGGCCCTGAGTTGGATGTTCTTCTAACACTCTTTTAGCGAAAAGCATCAAATCAACAACTCGCCATAACCAGTTGGAAAAATTGCCAGTACAGTCGAACCTCTATTAAGCGGCCACCCTCAGGGATCAGCTTTGTGGTCGCTAAATAGAGGTACGCAAATAATAGACCCTGGGCGTAGTCAAATGTCTATTTTTAATTATGAATCACAGAATACAATAGTGATTTTATCATTAATTCTCATTTTCATCTAGTATAACATTTTTCACAGGCATACATTGTGCCAAAAACACGAATCCATCACACAATCATATTTCACACTAAACCTTTTGAACAAACATTTGGGACTATTGTGACATACATTTATTACTAGGACACCAATATGGTTCTCATATTACCTATATCTAAACCTAAAAATCCTACAGGCTGGCCACTTAGTAGAGGTAAAAATTGACATAAAACATCATTTGGGACCGCTCTTTGGGCGCTCAGTAGAGGTGGCCGTTTAATAGAGGGATAGTTTATAGTATTTGTATTACAAAAATTTCGGGACTTCGATATGTGGCTGTTTAATGGCCGCTTAACAGAGGTTCAACTGTATATCCACACCAAAGCACAGCTTTTTCAAGCAAATAACCGGCTTGGGCTTCAAAATAGAGTTGGATACAAAATATTTATAATAGAAAACTGCAGACAAACAAAAAATAATACAATTTCATTTGCGCATAAGGTTTACTAACTTACTTGGCAATGTCGTATATAAACAAAGGTCCAACTGTTTTGTAGGATGTAATTGAGGCGCACTCATTCTCAATCACGCTTGCCGATTAAATTATTAATGTAAACAATACTAAAGTTGAGAGAAATACTCATTACTGTGACACAATTCCGGTATAGACCTGTCTTGCCGATGTTAAAGTACTGTTTAATAAACGAGTAGGAGTGTTTTATCACATATAAAACACGACGCGTAGCAGAGTGTTTTATATGTGATAAAACACGAACTACGAGTTTATTAAACAGCTTCAAAAACGTCTCAGTTAGATCACGGCATTGGCGAAATAATTTTCCAAAATAACTTTGTATTAGCTGAGAAAATACAAGTTGAAATTTGAAGCGTGTTTTATCAGATATAAAGACACGCCACGCTTATGATTTCTCTTTGTGTTTTCCTCATGAATTATTAATGAGTTTTTGAATGCCATTAATATATATGATTTGGTATTAAAATCACAAACACTTAGTTTCCAAGTATATATGAAAGCAGACATTTACAGGCAGTTTACAAATGCTAGGTTACATTAGTTTTATCTGTACTTCTGCTTAAAAAGGACAATTTTAAAACCGGAATTTTCTATATCAGGGACATGCATATAACTCCCAAATGCCGAGTCTTAATTAAGATGAATTCTAATGAAGTTTTCTAATGAAGAATTGCTCTTGTGAAGTACAGGACAATGGCCACTTTGTATATTGAAATTTTAAAGTCATTTATCCTGTTTTAACTTAAAACAGACGGCTTCCGATTTGTCTTGACGTTATACTCTCGTTTTTTTCTCAGTTTGGACAAAACGTAGATATAACATAGAAAACGTATAATTTTAAAGCTATATACGATATAGAAAACACGATTTTCTCATCTTAGCTTGTTTGCTGGCTACGACAAGGTTCAATGTCAATACTACGATTAAATATGATGAATCTTAACAACTTTAACTATAAACTGCATAAATACATATTAAAACCCCAATTATTCAAATGTCAATTTCAGAACAAAAATCATGATTATGGTTCCTTATAGCTGCTTTTCCATTAATATAAATGTTTTCCCCATCCGGAACACTGATCTGAAAACTAACTATATAACACATCTGGCATGCATAACTGAAGGTAATGGCAGCCATATTGGTGTAATTACCCTTAATGTAGAACGGTATTGCAGACATGTTAGGAGATTTTCTCACAATTTCTGATTATTATTGGGAAACGTAATCGCTAGATAAAAAAATTGGTTGCCATTTGCCTCTCCTTCGCTTAAATTTGCCTGTGAATAACAAATTAGGTCACACCAATATGGCCGCCTGAAGTCTCGTTATCTACTTTCCACAACGTTTTAAAACTTTTTAGAAGAGATGTGGGAAGCTTGATCTTTCCAGCTACATATCACTCAAGACATTTGCTTGCATGATAGGAAAGCTTATTTAGATATCTAACAATTTGAATTGTAGAGAATTTGATAGGTTTGAAAATCTCAGCTTATAAATATTCTGTTTCAAAATTAGCTCGAGCATTCAATTCAAAATGATGCATTTTCCAGTTAGTTTCAGATCAGTGATCCGGAATGACCAATGTACAGCTATTTTAATAAAAGTTGTCATCGACAATAGTCAAACATACAATATGAGCGCTAAAAGAATTATGGGAATAATCATAGTTTTAAATAAGTTTAGCATATCAGTAGCCTTGTGGGAATACTTTTAGCAACTGCTCATAATGCAAATGAGGTTAATATGTAAAATTTGATTGTTCTGAAATGATTTGCATTGCGATTTGTCGCTAAAAATATTTTCACAAAGCTATTGATATCCTAATCTTATTTAAATCAAGGAGTATCCCCATCATTCTTTTAGCGCTGGTATTGTACACTTGCATGACTATTGTCGGTGACAACCTTAATTGAAAAGCTGTATACAATATTCACACATCTAAATATGCATGCCAAATTGCCTTAGGAGCAAAATGTGGTGCATACTAAGCTGAGATGCTACCCAATCTCCAACAGATACCATGCTGGGTTGAAAATAAGGCTGCTTGAAACGAATGCAGCCTAACTGACATGGAAATAAACATTTCCCTCTTTATTCATTCTTTCTCCAGTTGTCTTATTGTTAAACAGTCATAGCATTCGAGATACAATAGCTGTTATCGTAATTGAGTACGCCGCTGCGGCGAACCAGCGGTATCTCAGCGGAAGTACGGACGAAAACGAGGCTAAAGGGTAAAAAACACACAAAACATGACCCTATAGCCTCGTCTCGATGTTAAAATAATGCAGATACCGCTGATCCGTAGCATAGACATGTTCAATTACGATAACAGCTATTGTAATGTTGTGAGGTGAATCAGGCACTCGTCTCCATGCTTCAGTGCTTGAGAACATCCAAAACTTTTAACATTTGGGTGGCAAAACTGGAGTAAATGAACTTCAAATATCCCATTTGATGGTTGCGGGATGTAATACGGTACAGGTTGTTGGGGAGGTGCTGAGTACTGAGACTGATGCGTTGCTTCATGTTGTAAAATGCGGTATTGAATGTTGGGCTTGTGGCGTTTGTTGTGCAGGTGTATGTGAGTGTGGTGCTGAGTACTGGGAATGCAGTGCTTCATATGGCAAATGGGATAATTGTTGCGCTCCTGGGTTCTGAGATGCTTGTGGAGTCTGAGGATACACAGAAAATGGCCTGTTCACAATGGATGAAACGGGACTTGATTTATCGCCTCTGCCTCCTTTTCGTCTTGCTGTAGATGCTTTGGTTGACTATTTCCCAGTATCTTTACTGCTATTGTAGGTTATTAGCAATGTTAAAGTCATTGTTGTTTGGACCATTCTTGGTGAACCATTTAACATAGCCATGACCGCATGCGCACATAACTTTGTGGATGCAAAAGACGGACACCCATCACAAACCAATTTCCTGTTCTTTTTAATTTCCACAAAGTGTGGTCTTGTAGTTGTCTGGCTTTCCACCATAAATGCTTATTGTTTCCAGGAGCCGGTGTTATAGCACCTTCCCGATTCAACAACTCTTCAGACTTATTAACAATTGCCTGCAACATGACCGCGGGAAGAAACTGAATGTTGGCTCTTAATAAATTTACTGTAAGTACTTTACGAGGAACAGTTGTACCTTGACCAGGAACTGTTGAAATGGTCTAGGTTTCTTTCTCGTTCGACATCTTCTCTTTATGAAACCTTTATGAAATCTTAATGACAATCTCTCTGTTCAGTTCTCTTTCTAAACCATTCGGTTTCAGAAATATAGAAATTTCTAAATGAAAAAGCTAATTGATAGGGGCCTTTGTTAAAGACAGCAGACTCGACAAATTGTGAGCAAAAACAAATTGTGAGCCACAGCCTCTCAAAAATTTCGTTTTTCTCAATTGGGCGTGTCATGAAACCTCACCTTTTCTTTTTAAAGTGTTTATAAGATGTTTATAAAGAACGTGGGTCCAATTTGCAATTTTTGAAATGATTTTTCAATGTCAACACAAGCGTCTAAAAATAGTCTTTTTTTGCGATCCAAAAAATTCTAAATTGTTACACTTTTTGAAAATTAATTTTCCGTATCCGGGAAAACTCCAATTTCCTTGAAATTTAGGGAATTTAAAGAGAAACTGTTGCTCTAAAAGCTGATGTAAAAATTATTTTGGGGCTTTTTGTTACCGCGGAATTATATTCACTATAATATCGAGAAAATCACAAGAAAAACCTTAAAAATCCTCAGACAATTGCGCACCTTGCTTCAACTATAGACAGTCGAAACTTAATCATTTCTGCTTGTTTTCTCTTGTTATTTATAGGAAATATAAGACGTCGATCATTTTAAACTAGTTTGCCTATTTCTAGATAAAAATACACTGTTTAACTCTCCAAGACTAAGATTTCTGCTTCAAAATCTTGTTTTAATTGATCTATCCATGCACGCCAATTAAAATAAACTAGAAATGTGAATATAGAAATTAGGTTCCCTTATCTGAAAGAACTTTTAAAATGACTTGCAAAACATTTTAAAGCTTTTTTTTAAATCTCGCTTATTTCTCGACCTTAAGGTTACTCCACATCATGAAATGGCGTTTACAAAAATGCTGACCACGTGCTCAATTTTTACGCTTTTGCCGTCAAATTTTGTGTATGTGATGATAAATCATTGTTGTAACCAGCAATTTAACAAAAATGTTATATTTTAAAACACTGTGGTTGCTATGGGCTACTTTTGAAAATCTGACCTCCTTTGCGTCATGAGATTTGCACGCCACCAATTTAACCCTAGGACCTGCAAAACATCGTATTTCCCATCTCAGATGATCAAATAACAAAGTGTGTTCGCATTTTTTGACAGCTATTGTATTTGTTTTGATATAAAGCAGACAAGTTGACTTACACAAATTTTGTATACATGGTAGAACGAATGCCTATAACTCGAAAAGTATGGCGTTGAACGAAAAATGCGAACACAGTTTTGCTCCTTAACAATTGTTCTACATTGTGGCAAAGTTTGGAAGGAATCGGATAAAATGTGCTCGGTGCATTAGTCTTTTTGTGAGGACAATCTAGGAATATTTCATTCTGTGTAAAAGGCTAAAAGAGATTTCGCAGGGTTTTTCCGCTCCCTGTTGTGTTTCTCCGCCCTCTGTTCTCACTTCAAACTGTAAGCCAATCCGATCGAACCTCATCAGAGTACTTTTTGCAAGGTGGTTCTGCGTCATTTATTGATGATCTAGTTTGTTATAAGTGCGTAACAGGCAAAACAAAAACATTAAATATGCCAGCAAAACGCAAATGTAGGGAGAGCAAAGCGAATAAGGAGCAAGCTAAATCAGCAAAACGTAAATGTAGGAGATCTGTGGTGCGTGACCAAGGGTGGGTTGTAGCGAAGTAGTTGTAGTTCGCTACTGTTGCGAACTACAATTTTCAAGTAGCCAGTAGTTTTGGACTACTTTTTTAAAACAGTAGTTGTAGTTATAGCGAACTACATTTTGCCTAAAAGTAGCCAAGTATTTTTCTACTTTTCAAACAGCGAATCGCTATTCGCTACTTTTTAAAATTGTTAGCAACTTGATAGAATAGCGTGATATTGAGACACGGTTTGCTTAAAATCAATACTCAATAGTCATTTTGCACTCCTGAATACTGTAGTGCTTACAAAAATGTTGCTTTGTGTTTACTGTTGCTACTCGTAAGTCGATTTGTTATAGATTACATTACAGCCTGAGTTATAGTAGATGCTCCAAATACAGTAAAACTAAAAAACATAGTGTAGCGAAATAGCAAAGCAGTAGCTGTAGTCAGTAGCGAACTACCTTTGTTCAAAAGTAGCAGTAGTTGTAGCTGACTACATATTTTTGAAGTAGCTGTAGTTATAGTGAACTACAAAAATTTTGTAGTCAACCCACCCATGTGCGTGACCAAGAGCCAAGTGAGGATTCACCTGGAGCTGAAAGCAAAGACACTCTTCAGGACATGAGAGCTATTGGGTATGTGCGTTACTCTTATTTACACTTTTGCCTGTGACAGTTTTTTAAAACGCTGAATGAAAACAATATTTCAAATGCAGATTCGATGGGACAAGTTTCGTAAAGAACCCTGAAACAAGCGTTGCTGACTGACAAAAAAGAGGAAAGCCTCCAAGAAGATTATGCTACGTTCATTACTGTCAATGGGCTGGGCTCATGCATTGCTGGTATAAAGTAGAATCCAATACTAAAATGATCTTATTTGACTCATTAGTGTGAGATAATTGTGCATTCATCATATAATTTTCTATAACTTTTCAACAGCGTAAGAAAATTGGAGGGGGAGAAGCTGAATATGGTTTTCCATGTCAAGTCCTAAATTTTATTAGGCACATTGCCTCAGGTGATGTGATAGGGGAAATTAGAGAGGTAAAATAGTGAAAAGTTTTTGTATCAATGTAACATTTTAGTTTTAGGTAACTGTAGCTTTTCAATTTATAAGGTAGCATCTTTAATTATGCACGGCTCAATAAAGGCACGAATATGTACTACAGCTGTGCCATATATTTTGGCTGACAAAGCACCGTATTTTACACAAGCTAAAAATACTTTGGATGCAGATAATCATCACGGCAGCTATATTCAAGATTTGGACCTGTATACTATTATTGATTTCCTCAGAATTAGCACAGTGTATAAGTACTATTTACAACATGAGCGGCCATGTTGTATCGGATATACAAACTAGAGCCGAAGGTGAGAGTTTGTATATCCGATACAACACAGACGCTAAATGACTTGTGAAACGTATTGATGGGAACATTCATATTTTTCAACAACTTAAAATAAATTAATGATATTTGGTGAGAAAGTTGAACTTAAAGTTTACGTAAATCGGAATGATTCTGTATCAGATATACAACTCCTTCACGCTCATGATTTCTTTTGTGAGTTATTAATGAGTTTCACAATTAAATATATAACTCACTTTAAGTCTATAGGATTTATTTTAGAATGCATTCCCTGTTTCTCTAAATGTGTTCTGTGAAGTACTGAACTTACCACAAGCATAAATAGTATTGTGTAACATAATTATATTATTATAGCCAAGTAGTCCAGGAGGAGAAACGGGGGTATCGTAACCCGAGCAGGGAATTTATGAGAATATGTGACTTTGGTCAATTTTGGGGCGCTGATTTCAAAAATCGATGTTATACGGGCCAATACCGGGGCCTTCAGCCTCGTTTTGATGCATATAGCGTTGTTTTGGGGCATACATAGGGAACACGTTAGTTGTCTTAGTTAGGGAAACCAGTGATTTTGGTCAATTTCGGTGCGCTGATTTCAAAAATCGATGTTACACAGCAAAATACCGAGGCCTTCAGCCTCGTTTTGGTGCGTACAGCCTCGTTTTGGTGCCTACATATGTGCCTTAGATAGCCAAGGAAGTTGGTGATTTTTGCTCAACTTCGGTGCGCTAATTTCAAAAATCGAAGTTATATGCGCAGATATATTGGAACCTCTAGCCTCCGTTTAATACACATATCCTTGATTTAGTGGAACTATTGGGAAGATCCTACTTAAACAAGCAAGAAAGCTAGCGGTGATTTCTGCTCTTTTTGATAAAAAGCAATACTGTTGCCCCATTAAATTGAGGTCGTGTTATGCATTGCATTAAAAAACATGTACATTCTGATCACAAACCTTGCACTTTCCTTTTCAAAATTCACTCGTGTCTTCAATTTCCACATCATCCTTGTAGTCATCATCGGAGGACAAACTGTTCTAACTCTCCGTGCCTGCGAGTAGCGCATCAATCTCCCCGGGATAGGAAATGTCACTCCAGACAACGGTTCCATCTCCGTCCCATCCATGCTCGTCGGGGCGCTCGAGTTCTACTAGCAGCTGATCGGCGTGTCAAAAGATGTACACAACATAGTTAGCTCTCATGTGATGATGATGAAGATTTGACTGGCATAGTGGCATTAGACAAAGGTCAATGATCTTTTTCTTGTTGAACTTGTTCCAAAATACTTTCTTCCTTGCCTCATTGACAGAAAGGATACGTGGATGCTCGTATATAGAACAGACGAACCATTCTAAACCCCGAACCAACTCCTCGCTTGCTGTCACCTCCGTACTCAAGGATGAAAATAGATCGATAAAGGCAGTGTTCTTGGTCACGGCTTTCCACACGGCCTGCTTTTGCTTTCGAAAAAGGCTAGATATATAATCATCCGGAAAAGGCATGCGTTCCCAAAAGAGCTCATCTGTGACCAAGGGACAATCCAGTTGACGTCACGTCGATGATTTTCCTGTTCTTCCCGCTGCCATTGTCAATCAGAATCTGTGTGTCCGAAAAATAGTGACCAATGAACAAGCTAAGGTTATTATGTCTATATCACCAGATGGCGACCGTACCATTGCAGTTGAGCTAGGTGGCAATTGGCTAGAATGCATAAATGCAATGAGTTTATTACCAGAATTAACCAGCGACCACGAGGAAGCGGACAAGAAACTCGTTACATTTGTGCATACTAGCCAATTGCCACCTAGCTCAACTGCAATGGTACGGTCGCCATCTGGTGATATAGACATAATAACCTTGTTCATTGGTCACTATTTTTCGGACACGCAGATTCTGACAATGGCAGCGGGAAGAACAGGAAAATCATCGACGTGACGTCAACTGAATTGTCCCTTGGTTACAGAAAAGCTCTTCTGGGAATGCATGCCTTTTCCGGAAACGATTATGTATCTAGCTTTTTTCGAAGGAGAAAGCAGGCCATGTGGAAAGCCGGGACCAAGAACACTGCCTTTATCGATCTATTTTCACATTTGGGTACGGAGGTGACAACAAGCGAGGAGTTGGTTCGGGGTTTAGAATGGTTTGTCTGTTCTATATACGGGCATCCAAGTATCCTTTCTGTCAATGAGGCAATGAAGAAAGTATTTTGGAACAAGTTCAACAAGGAGAAGAAGATCATCGACCTAAGTCTGATGCCATGGTGCTAGTCAAATATCATCACATCATGAGAGCTAACTATGTCGCGTACATCTTTTGACACGCCGATCAGCTTCTAGTAGAACTTGAGAGCCCCGACGAACATGGATGGGACGGAGATGGAAACGTGGTCTTGAGTGACATTTCCTATCCCGAGGAGATTGATGCGCTACTCGCAGGCACAGAGAGTTAGAACAGTTTGTCCTCCGATGATGACTACGAGGATGGTTTGGATGTGGAAATTGAAGACACAAGTGAATTTTGAAAAGGAAAGTGCAAGGTTTGTGAT